GAAAAAAAAAAATTTTTTTTTTTTTTTTTTTTTTGGCTTTTATCCCATTATTCGAGCTGATAAAAACAGCTCGGGGCGGGGTGGGGGCAATGCCGCCGCTCGGGGTGGTTTTCCCAGGGGATGCCAGGCCCCGGGAAGAAGGGGATGCTCCAAATGGCGATGCAGCGGCCGGGCGGCGACCCCTCCAAGGGGGATTTTGGAATTTTTTTGGGTGCTTTAAGCGATGCCCCGGGCTGAGGTTCCCATCTCTCCAGCAAAATGGAAATATTTCCCCGTTTCGGTGGAATCCAGAGAGTGAAACCACCGCGGCGCTGCTGGCCGGGGCGTCAGCTCCCAGCCCCGCGTGTTGTAGCTCCCTCCTTGGCCCCAGCCCAAGTTCAAGTGCTTTTCAGCACCACGTTTTGCTTTTTGCTTCCTTAAAGCCCGGCTCAAGCAGCAGCTTAGTTGTTTTTTTTTATTTTATCTAACGCATCCAAAGCCACGCACCATCCCATCAACGCCGACAGCGTCCCATCCTCGCCCGCTGGCCCCGGGGTGGGTTTTTCCTCTCCACCCTGGGGACGGATCCCTGCTTCTCTCCTCGAGGGTCAGGATTTTGGCTCCTTGGCCCATCGCCCGTGGCCTCTTGCGCCGGGGCGGAGCGATGCGAGCTGCAGCCTGCCCAATCGATCGTCGCAGCTTTGCTTCGCTCTTAAGGTGATGCACCCACTCGGTGCTACCGTAGGGCGAAATGCAAATGTTCCGGCAGCCCCAAATACCCCCCCAAACAGCTCCAGAGTTTTGCTGCGACGGAATGTTGCAGGATTTGTTGCAATTGCATTTTGTAGGGTTTGCTGTGTTTTGCGGGAGTTGTCGCAATTGCATTTTGCAGCATTGGGTGTGTTTTGCAGGGTTTTTTTGGGCAGGATTTGTTGTAATTGCATATTGCAGGACTTGTGGCGTTTTTCAGGGTTCGTTGCAATTGAATATTGCAAAATTTAGTGCATTTTGCAGGGTTTATTGTGATTAATATTGCAGGATTTCTTGCAATTTCCTATTGCAAGACTTGTTGCGTTTTGCATCATTTAATGCAACTGAATATAGCAAAATTTGGTGCATATTGTAGGCTTTGTTGTAATTAATATTGTGGGTTTTGTTGCTGTGTTGCCTTTTGAAGGATTTCTTGCCTCTGGCAGGATTTGTTGTAATCGCCTTTTGCAGGATAGGTTGTAATTGCCTTTTACGGGATTTGCTGTAATCACGTTTTGCAGGATTTATTGCATATTGAAGGACGCGTTGCAATTGCCTTTTGCAGGATTCGTTGCATGTTGCAGGATTTATCGTAATTGCGTATTGCAGGATTTGTTGCATATCGAAGGACTGGTTGCAAATGCATACTGCAGGATTCATTGCATTTTGCAGGACTTACTGCAATTGTGTTTTGCAGGATTCATTTTATTTTTCAGGAGATCTTGCAATTGCATTTTGCAGGATTAATTGCATTTTGCACGACTTGTTGCAATCGCACGTTGCAGGATTTATTGCATGTTGCAAGATTGCTTGCACGTGGCAGGGTTTGCATCCCCAGCGGATGGCTGCACGCTATATTATTCCAGCAACGCCCCCCACCTGGGGCTCTCACCAGGCTTCCCCCCACCCAGATCTGCACCCAAAGACGCCGTCGCCTTCCACGTGCAGGGAACGCCGGGCGTGAAGGTCTACGTGGTACACGATACGCAGAGCGTCAAGTTGCCCTCCAGCGTGAGCCGCTGGCCCCTGGCCACTGGCACCGAGGTGCTGCTGGCCATGGATGCTCTCAGCAAGGACGTGGGCGATGAAAAGGTGGGTGCTGGTGCGCCAGCAGGATCCAACCCCTCTTTGCACGGCGGCGAGCACCCGCTCCTTGTTGCAGGTCAGGATTTCTTATTTCGGGGAGGCCGGCGGGGTGCCTGTGGGCAGAGCCATGCTGTACCTCACCTGCGTGGGTAAGTGCGGGGGGGACCCCAAACCGTGGCGCTGGTGGGGATGCTCCCCCTCCCCCCCAGCATCCCTCTCCCCGCAGACGTCTCGCTGGACGCCGACACCAACCGCAGCGGGGCGGTCAGCAGGACGCTGCTGGATAAGGTACAAAGGGGGGAGCGGGAGCCACCCGGGACGGCGGGGGGCAATGGCAGCCCTGTTTCACCCCCCGGCCCCCCCAGGCGACGTGGACGTGGGGTCCCGACGGGCACGGGGCCATCCTGCTGGTGAACTGCGACCGTGACGACCCCAAAGCCGAGACGCTGGATAACCGCGACCCCGCTGTCCGCTCCTACGCTGGTACCGGCGCATCCCATACAAAAAAAAAAATCCCATTTTCCTATGTTTTTCCCCCAAATTTTCTTCCCCCCACCCTCTCCGCCGGCCACCGCCTCGTCCTCCATGTGGACTTCAGCGACGCCGATAAAGTCGGCGTTTTCTATGGCGGCAGTGAGTGCCCGACGGCGGGGTTTGGGGGGACAAATACCCCAAATGGTTGGGGTTCAAGCAAAATGCTTGCAGCAGAGCGAGCATCTCTTCTGCAGCATCCAACCTACGTCCCAGGGCTTTTATCTGATGCACCGGGTGATTTTGCTCCCCCCGTGCATACTCCACGGGATCAAATATGCCTTTTTTTGCAAGGTTTTAGCAAAAAAAAAAAAAACGGAGCTGAAACGGTGCGGAAGAGGGGTTGGTTGTTTAAGGGGGGTTGCACGGTGCTTGCACCCGCAGACAGCGTCGCGCTGGAGGAGTACAAGCACGTGCTGGGGGGCTCGAAGCTCGCCTACGCCATCAAACCCAGCCGGCATCAGGAGGAGAGCATCTTCTACGTGGAGGGGCTCGCCTTCCCCGACGTCGGCTTTTCGGGGCTGGTGACGTTCCACGTCACGCTGCTGGAGAGCCCCGAGAAGGTACCGCCCGTGGGGGGAGTCGGGGTGACCGGCAAGGGGTGGCAGCGGACCCCGAACGCTGTTCCCCCCCCCATCCCAGGGTTTGCTGGAGACGCCGATTTTCACCGACACGGTGGTTTTCCGCGTGGCTCCGTGGATCATGACCCCCAACACGGCGGCGCCGCTGGAGGTCTTTGTCTGCAGGTGGGTGCTGGGTGAGCGGCCGCATCCTGCCCCGTGCCGGATCAATCCCTAATTCCCATTTTCCTTCCCAGTGTGGACGACAACGAGGATTTCGTGGCGGCTGTGGGTGCCATGGCCGAGAAAGCCAAGTGCCCGCTCACCGTCTGCCCGCTGCCGGAGAACCGCCAGGACCGCTGGATCCAGGTGGGTGCAGGATGATGCCCAGCCCCATCCTTGCTGCGGCAGCTCCAAGGGGGCTTCCCCCCATCTTCTCCATCTCTTCTCCAGGACGAGGTTGAATTCGGCTACGTGCAAGCCCCCCACAAGACCTTCCCCGTCGTCTTCGACTCGCCCCGCAACCGCGGGCTGAAGGATTTCCCCGTCAAGAGCATCCTGGTACCCGAGCCCTGCCTCCTCCCTTCCCCAGCAAGGCATAAAGCTTTGCAAACCTATAAAAAAAAAACCCAGGATGAATAAAATTTTTTCTTGCATTTTTGGGAAGGGAAGAGCCAGCACGGAGGGTGATTTGGGAGGGCTGCATTTTGTGTGCTTACAGCTTTTTTTTGACCATTATTGCCTTTTTTTTAACCACTATCACCTTTTTTTTGACCATTATCACCTTTTTTTTTCCTATCCAGGGCCCTGATTTTGGCTACGTGGCCCGGCAAGCGCCGGAGGGTGCTTCCAGCCTCGATTCCTTTGGTAATTTGGAGGTGAGCCCCCCCGTGACGGTGCAGGGCAAGGAGTACCCCTTGGGCCGTATCCTGATCGGCAGCAGCTTCCCCAGGTGAGATGCAGGATGGAGGGATCAGAGCATTGGGGAAAAAAAAACCCAAAACAACCGAAAAAAGGATTTTTATGCACCGTTTGAGGTTGGTTGCAAGCAGAGCATCACCTTGGGCACCCCAAAATGGCAGCCCCCTCCTTGTGCCCCCCCAGATTCGGCGGCCGAAGGATGGCGAAAGCCGTCAAGGATTTTCTCATCGCCCAACAAGTGCAGGCGCCGGTGGAGCTGTTTTCCGACTGGCTCCACGTCGGCCACGTAGATGAGTTTCTCAGCTTCGTCCCCGCACCCGATCGGAAGGTAATGAGTCCCGTGGGGGGAAAAAAGGGGGGTGCAACCTTTATACCCCCCCAAATACCATCCCTTTCTCCCTCCTCAGGGTTTTCGGCTGCTCCTGGCCAGCCCCAGCGCCTGCTACCAGCTCCTCAAGGAGAAGCAAGATGAGGGGTTCGGCGAGGCAGCGATGTTCCAGGGTAGGGGGGAGGATGAAAAATGGGGCTTGACGGGTTCATTTTCCCTTTTTCCTGCAAAATGCAACGGGGTGGGTGAAGGCATGGCACCCCAAAATCCAGCTAATGGCTGGAAAGTGCTGCCGGCAGCAAGGACGGGGGACAGAAATAAGCAGAATTAATTCAAAAGCTGCAGGGATTGGGTTTCCCGGGTTGGGACGGAGCTCGCTGCCGGTGAGCCCTGAAACGGGAGCTCCTGGCTCAGCCGCGGCAGCCTCGTCCCAGGCGCGCTGGGGGCACAATTCCCGCCCGGTTCTGTGCTGCAGGGCTGGAGAAGGTGCCCAAGCCGACGATAAACGAGATTCTGGCTAACGAAGCCCTCCGGAAATTCAATAACTACGTCCAGGTGAGAAAGGGGGGCAGGGGGCTCCTTTCCAGCCCTGCCTGTCCCTCCGTCCCTCCATCCCTCTGTCCAGCCCTCCAGCCGTCCCCCCATCCCTTTGTCCCTCTGTCCACCCATCCCTCTGTCCATCCCTCTATCCCTCTGTCCATCCCTCCAATCCTCCCTCTGTCCATCCACACATCCCTCTATCCCTCTCTTCATCCATCTGTGCATCCCTCCACCCCTCCATCCCTCTGTCCATCCGTTTGTCCCTCCCTCTGTCCACCCATCCCTCCCTCCGTCCATCCCTCCGTCCCTCTGTCCATCCATGCATCCCTCCACCCATCCATCCCTCTGTCCATCCATTTGTCCATCTGTCCACTCCTCCCTCTCCTCCTCCCTCCCTCCCTCTCTCCATCCCTCCACCCATCCCTCTGTCCATCCTCCATTTCTCCATCCATCCCTCTGTCCATCTGTTTGTCCATCTGTCCACTCATCCCTCTCCTCCCCCCTCCCTCCACCCCTCCCTCTCTCCATCCTCCCTCTGTCCCCCCATCCTTTTGTCCCTCTCTCCACCCATCCACCCACCCATCCTTCCATCTGTCCACCCATCCCTCTCTCCATCCCTTTGTCCCTCTGTCTGTCCACCCATCCCTCTCTCCATCCCTTTGTCCCTCTGTCCATCCACACATCTCTCTATCCTCTGTCCATCCCTCCCTCTGTCCCTCCATCCCTCCACCCATTCCTCCCTCTGTCCATCCACACATCCCTCCCTCCCTCTATCCCTCTCTTCATCCATCTGTGCATCCCTCTGTCCATCCGTTTGTCCCTCCATCTGTCCACCCATCCCTCCCTCCCTCTGTCCATCCCTCCGTCCCTCCATCCCTCCACCTGTCTCTCCTTCTCTCCATCCATCCCTCTGTCCATCTGTCCACTCATCCCTCTCCCTCCCTCTCTCCATCCTCCATCTCTCCCTCTGTCCACCCATCCCTCCGTCCGTCCCTCTGTCCGTCCCTCCCCCGGCGCCACCGCTGACGCCCCGCTCCCTCCCCGCAGAGCTGCATCAGCTGGAACAGGGACATCCTGAAGCGGGCGCTGGGCCTGGCCGAGCCCGACATCCTCGACATCCCCCAGCTC